CCAGCTGACTGTGCCTGGGAGGCACAGTCAGGTGAGTCTACAGAGTAAATTAACAACTGGGAGCTGTAGGAATTACCTTCTGATTCATACATGTACATTATCGGAACTATTATTTTACCTGGTTTGTCTTTCAGTCTGAAACTATTTCTGCCATGAAGCGAGTTGGCGAAAGTGTCATTGAACGAGGCGGTCAGATTAGAACCATTGAAAACTTAGGAGAAAAAGATTTACCGTTCAAAATGGTGGCACACTCACAGGGTTACAGAAGAGGAAGGTAAGTATTAGGGTTGACATCAACAGTACATACAACTAACTCTTGTCTTAGGGCTACCATTATCGCTCCTAGTAGCTGAGGTGTAGTACTTTTGTTTGACAAAGTATTGATACTTTATTTTTTATTTCGTTACAGTGAATTTCATGGAAGCATAAATGTTTTGTTTTCACTACTGTATTGGTGTCTCGCTTAGAATCTGTGCTCGTATCAGCATAGCAGCATTTAATTATGTGTGCGTCTCATATCAATATTTACCAGTATTTTGATTTTTTCTATAGATATATAGTTATGGAGTTTGATGGAAAACCTTCAATTGTAAGTTCAATGGTTGAATATCTCCGACGAGATGTGGATGTCATTAGACCTGCAATTACTAAACTTAGACCGTTTCTGAACAAGACAATGGAGTGTGACGGACCTAAGAAAATAGCACCACCCAGATCACTATCAGATACAATGTGATAACCACCAAATATATGTACAGTTTCTTGCGAGATATATTCTTGAACATTTTTGCGGACAACTCTTATTTATCTTCTTTGTCTTTCATATTCAAAATTGAATGAACACATATCGGTAATCCTCCAAGGGATTACTAAGGACTACTACCAATTTTTTATATGTTACATAGCTGCTTTGTGGAATGGTATTTTTGTTTCAAGAGTTGCCCTACTGTGGCTTACATGTAGCAGCAGGTATTAAAAGTTTTACTACGTTTCCAGTGAAATGACATCAAATAAATGAAGTTTTTGACTCCCATGTGCGAAGCACAAAATGGGAGTCTTTGCAGTTAGTGTGTCTGTATGTGTGTGTGTATGTGTGTATGTGTGTATGTGTGTGTGTGTGTATGTGTGTCCGACTGTTCCACTGCTATCTCAAGAACCATACATCGGTTTTTGATGAAACTTGGTGCATAGATGCTCTGGGCCAATGCGCAGATTTGATTAGGTTTTGGTAAAAATCCATGCTCGTTAATTACCTAATTTGCATGATAATTAGCTAATTTTTAGCTGTTCTATGACTGTTCCACTGATATCTAAAGAACCACTCATTGGATTTTGATGAAACTTGGTACATAAATGCTCTGAACATATGCGCAGATTTGATAATTTTGGTAAAAATCCGTGCATATTAATTACCTAATT